GGGGGGGGGGGGGGGGGATGCGCGGCCCCGGAAGGCCTGTGTGGCATGAGCCGGGCACTTGCGGGGACGGCGACGGGTGACCTGGCCACAGACGGGGCTCCTTGGCCCCGGCCACCGGCTCCCGGGGAGAGCGCCACCGCACCCCAGTGCCGTGCCCCACCCCCCCACCTCACTGTCCCGCTCCTCCCACTGGTGACGTTCCCTCTCCGATACCCTATTCCGTGTGCCCCATCCCGGCCCGGGCCCCGGCGAAGGGCAGAGTGCGTCCGAGAGCGGCTCGGGGACGCACGCAGCAGACTCCGCCTCCGGTACCCTGGGCGCACGTCCAACGTCGGGTCATGCCGGCCGCTTCTCCGCAGGGCCACAGAGGCGTTCTTCGCTTTCTTGTTTCGAGACCCTTGTAGACTCATGTGCTGTCGTGAGAAATGACGGCGCTCCCTTCCGCCCGTGTCCGCGACAGTGACGCCTCGCGTGGCCCGAGTGCCAGGTTGACCTGGTCCACGGACCTGCTCCATTGCTACCAGTGCCACCGGCACTGGCGTGTGTGTGTGTGCATTGTGCCTGTGCACCTGTGTGCTTGTGTGTGTGCACGTGGGCCTGTGCACCTGTGCGCCTGTGTGCACGTGTGTACACGTGTCTCCACAAGTGCGTGCAAGTGTGTGTGCCTGCACGGTGGAGACGGCGCCTTCCAATGGGCCTCCTCGCGTTACCCCTGTGCCGCACCACCACCTGGCGGCCATCGTCTGTCCCCGTAGCCACACTTTTTGTCGTCTCAAGAGTGTGACCTTTGGAGATCAGCTCTCCCCCCTCAGCACACCTTTGACCCATCTGTGTCACAGACGTCATCACAATTTAAATTAGGAGGGTCGTCACAGAACATTCCAGTTCACCCGGCCTCATGGGGGCCGGTGTCCCTGGATGGTACGCGTGCTACCCACTTCACATGGAGGCTTCTGCACAGACACCGTGCGCTGCATCGAGCCTGAGACGCCCTCTGGGCTGCAGGGAGGACCCCTCGCTCACCCTCTTCCGTACCTTGCAACAGCTTCCCCTCTGGGTGCCCGGCCCTGCACCCCCTGCCTGGGTCCCGAGCCCCGACGTGGGCCAGGAGCTGACGTTCTGCTGGAGCGGACACACAGGAAAGCGGTTAAAACCAGAATCGGGAGCCTGGGGTCCTCTGTGCTGAAGGGAGGAAAAGGGATGGGCGAGAACTGTCCCTTAATGGACGGTCAGGGAGGGCCATCCGGGCGAGCAGACCAACTGCTACCTGTAGGGCTGCAGGCAAAGTGAAGTTGGAGGCCCTGGCTCTCACGGTGGTTGGAACTCTAAGAGGTGCGATGGAGGCCAGAATGAGGCACCTGCACTGCGAGGTCCGAATGACAAGGGGCCTGAGTGGGCGGAAGAGCATTGGAAGGGAAGGAGCAGGCAGTGCCAAGGCCCTGAGGTAAGTGCAAGTCTGGCTTGAGAAACAGAAAGCAGGTGCCAGCACCCAGTATGGTGGTGCCACGGCACGGTGTGGGGCAGGAAGGAAGGAGCCCCATGGTCGCAGAGCCCCTGAGGCCAGCAAGGGGCCTGGGGTAGGAAGCACTGTAATGTGGTTCCCAGCTGCAGGGGGAGGGGCCGGGAAGCAGGAAGGAGCCCACCGGAGCCCCTGCACTTGGCCGGGCCAGGAGTACGGGGAGCCAACTCCGTTCGCTAAAGGCTGCAGGGGAACCAGATGCCTGTCGGCCTCTGGTCAGATGGTGGGCGATGTCCCGAGCCAGGTAGGTAAGATGGGGACGTGATCAGAGCTGGAAGGCCACCCGGGATGCCTGGACGGGGCACCCCCTCTGCTATGGGCCCTCGGAGGCTCTAACTACCACCGTGAGGAGAGACCCCCTGTCCCCGCAGGAACTTCTCCGGATACTTCTGACGAACACAGTGACTGTCCGTTCTTACCGTTCCTGTTTAATCCTGCGACCAGAGGGGGCATTGAATGCAGAGTCTGGAGCCTGCCAGGGTCCATATCCTCCGCTGCTGGGAGAGGAGAGACACTCTCTCCCCCCAGAAGCGAGGCCTGGCCTCGCTGCCCTCTGCTCTGCTGGGCGAGCGCCACCTCCCCACCTGCCCACATCTCCAATTCAGTCGGGTCCTTGTTCAGGAGGTGGTGACATAGCCAGGGAGTGCTCCCTGCACTGTACCAGCGCTGAAAATGCCCAGGACGACCCTGAGGTCCTTCACAGCCCGAAGGGAAGGGAAGTGATGGGAGATTCTTTTTAATGTTTGTCTATTTATGAGAGAGAGAGAGAGAACAAGCGGGGGGCGGGGCAGAGAGAGGGAGAGAGAATCCCAAGCAGGCTC